TTTTTCATATAAAAAAAGAAGTATTTAATTTTTGCATGGCATCATGACTGAGTAAGAGAAATTATTGGTATAACCGGTGTATAACATCGCGAAGTAAGTTATGTCACGTCGTAACGTCGGAAGTGTTATTTCTTCGTTCATTTACTGTAAATGTAAACATTGTAGAAGCTGATGGTCGGAATAATAACCAGCAATCCGCCAAATAATTACGTGGTCATGAAAGTCTTGAACATAATCCTGGCTGGAACGTTTCAGTTGAGTTTCATTTAACCTTTTACAATTTATTTGTCTGCAGCATTTGCATATCGAGAATGTTTCATTTTTAAATTCAAACTCTTCTAAGTTGTGAAACGTAATTTTTTGACTCAAAAAAAAAAAATATTTGCACTGTGACGGAGCTCATTAATATTACAAAAATGCCCAAAATAAAAGTGTTTATAACACTGTGTAAAGCAAATAAATATCTGCCACTTTGTTTTTGAAAATATATGTTGTTTATTGTGTGGGTGTAAATGTGCTTTGGTCAATTTCTATTATTATGTAAATGATATGCAAATTAGGCCGCCACAGTGGTTTAAATTCCTGGGGAGAACACTGTGGTGCAATACATTTAATTTTGCGCACGTTTTATTTCGGTTTTGAGCTGTCCAAGCTTTTTATTGTTTTCACGAAATGTTGAAAAATAAAACAAAGGGTCATACAGCACATGAAGCAGTCTGTCAATGTTTTGTTGATTTCAGATGCGTGTAGCCTCCAACGGGCATTTTGTGCACACGTTCCAGTATTACTGGTACACAATAACTATGTGCAGCTCATTGTTTTCTCATTGAAATTAGTGCTAACAGGTGGTAAAGTACTTCTGCCTAGAGTTAAAAAATGAAATCAATCAGAAATTTCCAGATAATTTCGCCATTAACATTTTAATTTGTTAATAACTTGACTGTTAAGTCAGAGGATGTTGTTTCAGGTCAAATTGTGCTGGAAATTGCTTTGCATCAAGAGTTTGTGTACGATGGAAAACATCCTACAATGAAATTGATGATAAAGATTTTTTCCACAGACCTTAACAGGGATTGAAATAGAATTTTTTTCCATGCATGCATAGTGTGCATGTTGAATTTGAAATTTACCTGCACTAACATGTGAAATGCACTACTTTTAAAGTTTAAATAAAATTTACGGGTTCTCGATTGATGCTATCACGAAAAAATTGTTCACAATGTTGGTTGAACTTAATTTAGGATTAGTGAATATAATGAGAAAATGTTGTTTCTACATGCACAGCGTGCACATTATATTTTGAGTTTACTTGCACTAGCTAATAATCTATGTGCATAGTGCAGTGTGCACCAGGGTATTTTGATCGCTGCTTAATCATTTTAATTTTACACCATAAATTCAGACGATATGTAAATCATATTGTATTAAAAAATGTGCATAAAACACAAAATTTACCATTACAGACTCTAAAAATCCATCTATTGTGAAGGGATTGGATGTACAACAACAGTCCTGCACAATTGGTAAAAGACAAGAGCTTGATTGGCCATAATTTGTTATGTTATGTACTTTCCAGGCAACAATAAATAGAACATAATTGTATGTTTTATTATGGAAAAATACGAACATTTTTTGGATTAACTGTGATACCTAGAACCAAATTATTTATGGTATTGCAATGCATGGCATTCCTTAATGTTTTTTCTCAATTAAAGGCTAAATCTGATAAATACAAAACAAGCAGCCTGTCGGCTGAGATAGCTCCGCTGTTAGCAATGCACATGGCAATTAAAGAACAGAAGATATCATTAGAAAATGAACAAATCTGAGAGAGGTCCACATGTAGTACCTATATATGTAATATCAAAGCAATTGGACTTGCGGTTTTCAACAAGAAGTCGAAAATATCACTTTTTACCAAAAATGACAAAAATATTCACCAAAATTAGAGAATTAAAGATATCATTACAAAATGAACAAATCTGAGAGGTCCACATGTAGTACCTATATATGTAATATCAAAGCAATTGGACTTGCAGTTTTCAACAAGAAGTCGAAAATATCACTTTTTACCAAAAATGACAAAAATATTCACCAAAATTAGAGAATTGAAGATATCATTACAAAATGAACAAATCTGAGAGAGGTCTACCCAAGTTACATATACACCAAGTATCAAAGCGATCAGGCTTGTAGTTTTCAAGAAGAAGTTCGAAAAATTAAAACATTGACACGGACGACGAACAATCACTCATATGATGAGCTCTGCTCGACAAAGTCGACAGCGGAGCTAAAAATGCTGGACAAATTAAAATTTGAGAAATCAAAAAAATCTCAATTGTCTGATCTGACAAAATTGCAGAAGCCAATAAATTCTGAAAATCTGGCAAATAGTAAAGTGTAAAATTTTTAGAGGGGATAATTTTGAATAATATTGAATGTACTCACCATCCAGGAGTTTGACTATATCATCAACAAACTTATTGTATGTATTCGGGTTGTCCATATTGAAAGCGATGTTTTCTTCATTACTGTATTTGGGACGATGCGCAAGCCCTACGGTACGGTGTATAAAGACAACATTAAGCAACCTATATACATTTTCATATGGAATGGGAAAATTTTGCGAGCTCACGCATCATTCTGGTTTTTGACAGTTTCTATAGTTTCAGTACTTTAAAAAATTGTTTCACACATTCAGACTCGCTCCCTCGTAAAATAATTTTTGTTATACATGTATGGTAAATTAATAATTCTAAATGAAATGCAAAACCATTGCCAATATTAGGACAGGTAAAAACCATTGAAAATTGTAAACATTTAGGAAAATATTTCACACACATGAGTTATTAGACTTGGAATCACTTCATACTATAACATCAGTGTCAGTTTTTGTTACTTAGAATTCTACCTAAACAAACATTTTCCATATTTATAACAGAAGCAGGGGCTGAAATTAAATTCCACTAAAAATCAAAGTTGCCTTTTCCATTAGACCAATTTATTAGGCAGATACTAGTCAGCCTGTGAATCCCCCCTCCTAGATTTGACATTTTTGTCAAAAATTTCTTGCTAGTAGTAACAGGTTGGAGAATAGACACTTAGCATATATAATATCCCTTAGCAAGCTAAATTAGAACTCTATTTGACTTAAAATTCATTTTCATTCTATTAAACAGGGAATTTTGTCGTTGATATGGGAGTTCTTAAAAGGTGAATTGAGAGAATACTTACCCGGTGTGCCTAGTTTATCTGTATATGTTGGTTCCTCATGACTGATAAAACCAATATAAAATACAGAGAACATAGCAGCAAAGAAGCCAGCAAGGAATGCATAAAAGAACAAGTAAAATACACCAATTTCAGCTGTAAACAAGAAAAAAAAATTATTATGTCAGGAATGACTATTTGAACAAATCAAGTACTATAAAACCTACACTGGAATTTAATTGCATTGCGTGTTTTAAGGTCATAAATTAGGCAGGGAAACAAGTTTTAATGTTATTTTAAATGTTCACTCGGATTTAATTTAGTGGATTTTACTGGTCTTGCAAAATTGGCAAAATTAAAAACCAGGTACTCACTTTATATAATGAGCATTGAAATGTGAAGGTGACCTTATTTTTGTTATTTGTTCCTTGTCATCTTGTATGTGTATCAAATGAAAACCTGCATCTCATTTTTTTTAATTTCACGTAACACATAAGATGTTTGCATTTTTAGGATATGTATTTCACTTCAGAAAATGATTTTGTCAACCCAAATCAATTAAGATATCAAAGTTTATCGTTTTTATGGTAGCAACAGAGGAAAAAAACAACTTAATTGATCTGTGACTGACATTGTCTGAAAGTTTCCAAGCATCATACTGTAATAACTTTTACGTCATCTGAAAGCGAAGACAGTGGTAAATACAGAAGTGCATATGCCATACTAATGTTTGTCTAAGATTACCTGATGGCCAATTTAGCAATGCTTTTTTTATTATTTTGACTTAACATTTTTTTTCACACATTCAGTCGCACAGTTGTAGGCTAGAGGGTTGTGTCTTTGTTTTGCTTTATCTGCCTTGGTTCTCCAGGTATGAACGACCAAATAAATACAGACAATGCTACTGATAATTCAACGTTAATCCCACTAAATAAATTCAATTTTCTAATACTACTTGATATCTGGAAGTACCTTTATATGACATTACACATGATTTTTTTTCAGTGTCCCAAAAATATAATTTTGAGATGTATCCTTTGAGATACAAGGGCATCAAGATAAGATTTGAAAAATATGCCAAAAATGTGTACAAAAAATACAAACAGTAGAGTCAACATGGCAAGACTGGATCATATTTGCACTATGACAGATTAGGGGACAGCGAGTAGCCAGTGAACAGACGAGTAATCAATAAGGTAATTACAGTTATCACCAATTCAGTGACAGCATGCCATAAGAGATGTGCACTGCCAGGAAAAGCACATGAACCTTACTACTAATACTACTCAAGCAAATCATGTGATGCGTGTACCACATAAATTAACCATGCCAAAGTCTACGACCACTTTTATAAGATCCTCTCATAATAGTCTTGGCAATTAACGCTAATCCATCCAAGTAAGATTTATTTTCTAAACGGCTCATCCCTTTCACTGAGCCATTTCAATGACAAGACTTAGTCATATTCATAACAACTGGTCTGGTACAAACAACTGGTCATTTAAATGGTTGGGAATAGGAACAATTATCAAATGATTTAAAATTAAAAATATAATCCAAAATTTAATACTGAAAGCAAAGCAAAAATGTTTTTGAATTATTACAAGTCATACAATGGAACAGTTATAAAATGAATGCTGCGCATGTCATCAATCAACTAATACGCTGGAGATAGTACTACAAAGCACTCAGCTCTTTACAATTATTACATGCTACAGGGGTTGATGTACAAAACACCAAGGCATTCTCTATGGTGAAAATGCTTTTAGCCAAATTAATCATCAAGTCACTAATCTGTCATAAAATTCAACACCTACCATGTACTAGTAATACTGTAAAACATTTAGCCAAATTTATTTTTAGCCACTGATTCATCCATTGGTGAATGGGTAATAGGACCCTTAACATTTCTCAAAATAGAGTAAACTCTAGAGAATTCATTTCTTTTTTTAGTTCAAAAGAACGCAAGAGTTCCTTTTGTACCCCTCCATCCCTAACCCTACCTCTAACTCCCAGTTACCCAATTGGTATATGCCCCTCTAGATAACTATAGATGTCCTTAGGAGGGGCATGTACAATTAAATGGGGAGTGCTGGAGGGTAGGGTAGGGTTAGGATATACAAAAGGAACTCTTTCCTAAAAGAACTCTCCAACAATTTGTAGGGAGGGTAATATGATATATCAATTCATTGCTTAATAAATATTATTAAGAGTTTCTAAAATCCCCCTTACCATCCCAAAACATAATCTAAACACTAGCAATACATATTGACACAAGGCCACTCACAAACCCCAATTTCTTCCCCAAATTGTACATTCTTTATGCATTGTGTAAATTAAAAATGGTGCTTATTTTCTAAAAAGGCCAAACAAATTATGTCATTATAGAAAGTTGTTTGGTTGCTTTCAATATTTTAACCTCAAGAATGTCAAAAAGAAAGGAATATTGCTAATATATGCATGCAACATCACCGATGAGTCTCAAAGCATTTGATCTGGTGGAATAATCTCTTGAGGTACACACAAGGTTTTTTTTAAATTTTATTTTGTCTGTCAATATGGCAATTTGAATGCTTTCCATGGAAACATGATGCATACATAAAAATAGGGCGATTTGACCCAGGTTTAAAATATTTTTAACTGGAACAGGTGGTTCTAAATCTAGTGTTCCTGTCCCAAATGAAAACGAGTGAAAAAATGTTCAGCATAATATGGCCTCAAATTCAATTTACAATTTGACTGAATCAGTGGAGCTCGTGAACAATTAATTACGTTTCGTAATTTTTAACAACATTCACAACTCTGAACAAAACAAAATGCGGGTCATCTACAATGTACACCTACAAACCGCAACCCGTATTATAAATCGCCCATTGTTATTGTAAATTCATTAGACTACGATGATTTGGAATTTGGACGAGACTTTCAAAGCCGCACTTTCATTGGGTGTTATTAAAGGCTGAATAGTTGTTGCCCTAAAGATGCGAGTTTCAGATAGGAACGACTCCGATGATGGAACGTGACCTTCGCTCACACTGACCTTCATAGCGTGACTACATTCACTTGGCGTGTTCTATTCAAAATCTATTACAAGATTGCCATTTGTCATCGCGCCGATCCACTTCTAACGGGTAAAATACAAAAATGATATGATACGACCATTTTCTCATGTTTTGTAACCACGAGACACTGTCGCATGTCTTTGCATACGGACGTGGCACGCGAAGTAAGTCCGACTAAACGCCACTCTCTGTAGAATCAGGTAAATTACCGGCTACCCAAAAGCGTGACGGTGGGTCACGCCTTGGAGGTCGCGCGAGCTTAACACACTTACCCCAACTGCGGGCATTCCTTCCCATAACAGCCTTGTGCTCTGGGTCCCACATAAAACTTGTGAACCCATGCCACTGGTCTGCAACATTCTGCATACATGTTTTGTCATCCTCTTGATGATACTCCCCGACCTTCTTGTCTGCCATTTTGGTACCTTTCTTGGGCTTGCTATGACGCTAGGAATTGTGGGATGTAAAATACCCGGATGCTGACCTCTTAGTGACGTCACCAGTGACACAAGATAACCTCCACACAAGTATGACATACATAGATGTTTCAATACTCATTCATAAATAAATATACTAATGCAGAGGGCGATTTGTTGAGTTTATAAAAATTCTTAATACTTTGCAGAACTAATAAAATGTGAACACTGCGAAATATTGAGGAATAGAGAGTAAATATTATGGTAACTCTTGTGTTTCAACTCTCCAGCAGGACCAGCACTATTTTTTGAGCTTATGAAATTTCGACATCATCACTAAAAAAAATATTAATTATACTTTTAGAAAAAAAAATACTACTTCCTTTAAATATAGGTGAGTAAAATTAAATTTAGTCGAGCCTCGAGTCTGCAAAATAAGGAAAGGATATTGTGGTTGTGATTCAATGTTTTATTCACTGTTTTCAACACATGAGGGCGCTGCTTAAAAAGGTCC